ATACTTTTTGATTTTTCCCAAAATATTGTTTGTTATATATGTCTGAGTACCCCTATAGATTCGATGGTACTGTGTCCCCCACCACGGACAGGCTTGCATTGAACAAACAGGGCTAACGGCTTTATCTAATTACTACACAATAAGTTAACCGTTGTATGAATTACAACATGAATTATTAGTGTGTAAGATCTGCCCTGAGGTAAAACATGCACTTGTGCTTTTTCCAGTAGGTCTCTGACCTCCTCGGTGTACGTTCTAAAAACCGTCACTCGGTTTCAGACTAGGTAAGGATAAAAGTGCGTTGTTGTTCGTTAATGTTACCGCTGAACCGGTGTCTACTTCGAATAAAAATGTTAACCATTAACACAAAGCGTTAGCATATACTGAGATACACTTGTCATGTTTGAAATGTTGGAAAAACGTGCTTCAGATCACTTGGCTGCAAATCAAGACACACGCTTACGACCTTCTTTAACGAGTTAACTTACGCTTGTGATAGCGGGAAATGGCATACCCGGGCGAAGTGGCCAACTTTACCGCACTTCCTTCACCTTGCGCTTTTGTGCGGATAATGCTTAGTAGATGGTTGTTGATTACTGCAACTGTAGCAAACAAGCTTTCGTGCCATATTATCAAAGGAAATTGGACGGCTCAGTGTGTTCAAACTTTCTGCAGTTTGGAAGGGGTTACTCTTGAATAACTGAGTTTCCAAGTTTTTGCTTGACGAACAAATCTGTAAGCTGGTTCCAGAGAAATATAGCTTTCTCTTGGGACAATATTTTCCTTTGAACCATTAGACATAATTCCTGCTGTTGGATGCTGGATTTTCATGGCTTCATCACAACCTTTAGAAGGAAGTGGGCTAAGACGACACACAAGTGGCCAACTTGGTAGATGCGTGCGATATATTCGTTTGCCATTCCTCCGCGCTACTGCTGCAATGCAACAATCTGTTAGCGGAGAGTTATTGGGAACACGTATAGTTTCCCAACTGATTTGCTCATGTGTAATATATTAGTTTTATCTATTATTTATATAGCATCGAAAGGTTTTTCCCCGGCTCCAAGTGCCTGGCGTAAAGGCGGTAACTGGTGGATGTCCGACAGTGTGATGTAGGGATTTAACACAGGTAACGTGTCAACTATTGTTGGTACGTCATTTTCTATTGATATAACGTTTGTGAAGAGGGTTTATCTGGAGCCTAAGACAACAGAAACGAAAGACACAAGAGTGAGCTCGCATTGCTCGCCAGCAATTTTCTACACACTTACTGAGTATTCGTACTATATACATGGACGCGTAGCCCGTTTAAAGATAAACCAGACACCGGATGTCACGTGTGAAATCTGTATTTGGACGCTTAGCTAGAAACAAAATAAGCTACCAGAACAAGAGGGCGCAGTCTTGTCGGTGATCAGTGCAGACGGCATGGTGACACAGTAAGCGTGATTACGGGCCTAGGTACGGAGCCTACAAGTGGACCACAGACGGTGTGTGTCCGTAAAAGGGGTGGGAAATAAGAGATGGCCTCGGACAGTGGGCACTGCAACATGAGGGCGTAAAATGTTAGAGCCAAAAAACATACTGTACATAGATTAATTGTCGCGCATGCTGCCATATATGTCGATAACATATAGCATCCCTTTCGTTTAGTAACATACTTGTGCAAAACGACAAGAGAGTGATCAAGGAGACTCCTTCAAACTTAGATAGTAAAAAGTATATCCGGCTAGAGAGGTTTTGATAGCATCTGGACACCCAAGGATACCTTCGATATCTTTTCTCAAACAGGAACGTTGTCAGAGCCGTGAGGTCGTCGAGCTATTCTTGCTTGAGCAGAACCAACCGCTAGGGATAAGAACTGCAGTGTTATTTTACAAGATCCCGCAGTGCAGCGTGACTGAGCCTCAGTGACGTGTTAAGAAGTCCACCTCAACATAACGCCATCCGTTAAAAGGTGACTTAACATAAACACATGAACGACTGTCAAAACTGGATGCTCGTGTTAGGCAACTAGTGTCGTTTCTAATTGCAGCTGTTCTCCGCATGTAGTGTGCACTCAGTGTCGTTTGTTGGGGTAGTCTCGGCGGTCCCTGCGAAGGCGAGCAAACTTCCAGTTCTGATAGCACGTGTGGACGAATTTTCGATCCAGTTCGCGTCAAAAAGGCTCAGTACGAGGAATTCGGTCAGAAGCTTGCCGTAACTGGCTAAGGTGGCTGCAGATGATGTATTTATACAGAGTGCAATGGCAGATAACAAACTTTTGCATTATTCTAACTTCTCAATCTACTCTGCATGAAGCATACCTCACCCTTTGTTAGAATGCTTTAACGAACATTCATTTCAGTTAATAGCTTTTAGCGAGACCCTTTTTCCAGGTTGCGGCGGATCATATTAACCGTCCCTTTCGCCAAGCGCATAATTATGCGCTTACGGCCAATTAGGTGTGAGCAACCTGCCTTCGCAGGGGCTGAATACTCGAAAGTCAATGCTTGGTATATTGCTATATTTAAATTAACACACGGCCAGAGGATTAGTCGTACGCAAAATTGAATTACTTGACTGCAACCATCAATTCCGATGAAAAATCCTTGAGCCGATCTGTCCTAGTTATTCCGGCAGATCGGATACTTCCGCTAGCGTTTGTGAAGCATTAAAATCTTTTGAAGCCTCCCTCATCTATGACGTGCTGAACGCCAAATTCGTAGCATGAAATAAATACCTTATCCACGAGGAGCATACCTAAAATATCTTCAAGTAATACAGGCAATACCTTATCCGAGGCAATGTGGATCGTTGTAGACGCGTATACAAGTGTTACTTACCCACGAATATATATATTTCCGGCGCAGAAAATATGCCGGCCTACTGCCTGAATACCAGCTTAGCTATACTGCATGATGCTTAAAGCAAAGGCAGTTCATACTTTGGATAATAATAACAGGGCACTTTATCCTAGATCTGATGATTTACACATCGGCGAAGGTCTGATCACGTATGAACATAAGAGAACCATTTGTTCAAACTTGTCCAACTCACTCAGCAGTCAAGTTGCTAGCGCCGACGGTAAATGAACTGTCACGATGTCAAAATCCTCAAGTGCTTCTCGCCTATGTTCACCAGAGCAAACAAGCAATGCATCGAGCTTCCATACAATGTGCACATGTATGATGGGAAGTATCCACTTAAGCGTTGTTATGAATTACACGGAATCAGCGATGCAGCTGTCCCTGATAACACTGCTGGAGAAGGCCTTGAACGCTGTGAACGCTTTGGCGCTAGACTATATCGCCTATACGCCACAACCTAACCCTACCGGTAACGACTGCAGAGACTTTAATTGCTTTCGAAGCAACTCTGCTTAACAATGATAAGCAGCAGCAGTGCGTGTGTAAAGGCGCCTTTCATACCATTCCTTTCAGACCAACTGCGTAGATACAATGCAAGGGAGTAACTTTGCAGTATTTACTCCACACATCCTGCAGCGCTTACTGGCTAGGAACGCCGTAGAAGAATAAATTCTACAGCACAGGAAATGCCATAGCTTTCAAAGGCTGTTGGGTTTACGCCATCATGCACAGTAAAGTTGCTTTCATACTGCAAACAGTTGATTAGCGTTCTCTTTTCAGAGCGTTTTATATACCGATGTTTTGAAGCCTAATGTTAAAAAGTTAATCAGAAATAGTCACCACAACCTGCGGTACCGGTACCTGCAAAGGCTTTCGAGAGAGGGCACCCTACTGCTTAAAGTTTAACATTAATATGTACTTTATAGGTCACAGAACTTGTAAACCTCAATGTAACGCCAACGGAAAAAATGTTTCTTTTTGCCTGTACGTTTCTAACATTTTAATACACTTTATGTATCCAATTAATAGTGCACTTCCATGCGGGTACAGCAAATGCTGGTCCCCGTGCTCTTATGAAAGAAAGATATAGAGGGCAGTTGTGAAGCCCAACGGGTGTGGGTGGGTTTTGGCTGCTTATTCACTTAGCACTTAATGTGTGTGTCGGGGTGTGCTTGCGAGCAGGCGATGGATGCCAACAACAGGCAAGAGCTTAGCACAAGCGCATCTGCAAACCTCGCAGCGTCACCGGTACGCTTGCTTTGACCACAGGGCTATCAGGAGCCCGGTATAGTCCGGTAATACGTTCTAGCTCAAAGCAACAGCAACAGTACCAGGCCTCACTGTGAAGCTCCGTCGAAACTTGGAAGGACCGTTCGTTGTGGAAGAAGTGTTGTCAGATAGAACTTATCGAAGCATGAGGCCGGACGTACCTGGTTTATCAGCGGTTGTACACTCCAACTGCTTGAAGACGGCCAAGAGACTCACGGGTGCTGAGGAGAGCGCCTGTAAATAGGGGAGCAATGTAAGGCGATGTGACATGTTGTTGTAAACTTCCGCGGCACCGGCGTTTTCTGTTGACGCAGCCTTGATTGCGGACTGCTTAAAATATGCCTGGTTGCCTCTCGGGTATTCGGCAACCTTCTGGTGTCAGGGTGTCAGCAGGCACTCGATACGTTATTGGTCGACATTCGCTCTTAATAGGTGGTTGGGATTAACTTCCGACCACCTAAGTTCGCTTTGTTCTCCATTTCAGGTCATCGGGTCCAGCGCGACCTACTCTACGTATCGGTTATGAAAGAACCAGGAACCCCCGACCCGGATGAATATTAGAGTTGGACAGTATGATTGCACAATGTCGAGGTCCCTTAAATGTGAGTTGCATTTTTGTTCCGTAGTGAAGCACCCAGACGAACCCCTAGCAAAACTCTAAATAAAAATTGTTTGTCATAGGTTATATATAAAGAGACTTTTATTCGTAACATGGAATTGTAAGAACAAATAAAAGTTTAGTTTATTTAACAAACAGTTTGTGTAACCATGCGCGTAAAAATCAATGTTTCAATTATTTCAAAAGCTAGAATATTCAATAATGCTGATTTTCAAAGAAAAGTGTAGAACAAATGTTAGTTTTATATTTTTTCCTGCAATGTCAAATTTGTACTGCATAACACCCGCTTGACGGGCGTTTTTCCTCGTGTAGTTTAACGTTTGTGATTGCGTCTCGGTTTTTTGCTACCATCAGGGAATCGATTTCACATTGCGCTTTGATCTTTTGATAGAGAGTTCGCATTGTTGTAAATGATTACGATATTTGTAACAATTAATTCGAGCATTAGGCATACACCAATGCGTCTTAGGGCAACGCTTAATAATTGTGCTTTCGCTTTCCTCTCTGAGCACACACTACAATGACGTGGTAGGTTGATCCTTAACCGACATGTGCTTCAGCGTAATCTGGACATTATTACGAAGGATGCGTGAAGTAACACGAGATTTTAGCTTGCGTTAACAAATGATGTGAGCTGTAAACTTACGTTTTGAAGACTTGCTTATTTCAGTCGGCAGGCTAAACCGCTGAAGCTCTATCGGCTGTGATTAGCATATCCTTGCCTCGAGTAACAGTTGTAATTGTGTATAGAAGCTCTGAAAGCGTATCCAAAGAGCTACTTGACTTTATCCGCTCTCAGTCCGCAAACAGATGTTTGATAATGGGCGACTACAACGGAGGTTTACTGGGCAGATCTTTCATGCAACTCTGCGTCAGGCACATTCAGCGCTGATCTACTCTAGCTTACGCTCCAAGTACCGTTGCATCAGTTCATTAATCGCCCTTCGTATAGGAGCAACTTTCCCACGTTCGAGATACGTGCTCGGTGATCTCCCGCTTGTCTCCTATCAGTTAGACCTAGGCGTCGTCCATTCCTCCTCTTTGCATTCTGCTGACAACTGGAAGAAGGCCCCAAGTAGGGGTTTCAGAATGTTGTGGTTAATACGCCTTTCTTTCGTGGTCTTAACTGCCGACATATATTTCGTTCGACCCCCCTATGGAATACTGCGTCCAGACTTGCCTGCCCTGCCTTGTTGGGGACAAACGAGCTTGAGAGGGTTTTGAGATTAGGTACCAAATTGGTCGAAGGGTTACGGAGCAATCGTACCGCGAGCGTCTACTTAGCTTGGGTATGTATTCAATGCACTACCGACGGCTTCGAGGAGACCTAATCCTTACTTACCTCATTTTAACAGAGAAAATTGGATCGGATTTGAGCTGGCTATTTATCCCGGCTAGGTTGCCTTGTCTTCGCGGTCATCCCATGAAGCTACACAAGCCGCGTTTCGACCGGATCAGGGCGAAAACTAGGTTATCGTATAATTATCGAGCGCTGAAACTCGCTTCCAGAAAGTGTAGTCAGTGAACTTACGGCTAAGGGTTTTGAGCGTCAGTTAGACGCTCTTGGGTGGCGTCACGAAATCTTTCCCTTCTGCTCATATCCATCTTCCAAGTTTGAGTTCATATTCTGTCATTCTCCTCACCGTTTGGTGTTATCTTCATTTTAAATGACTTTCCTTTTTCTTCCAGTTTTTTTCTACCTCTTCCTTACTTCACGTGACCTACACAGCGGGGACTACTAGTGCAGGGAACGTGGGCAGTAATTGGTTGCCCAGTGCCCTTCAGTTGGTGAGTAGGAGGAAACTGTGTATTTGTGTGGTAAGCATTCTTTCGTTTCGACAAGCTGTTCTTAGTGGCGTCCCGCAAAGCTCTGTCCCAAGGCAGCTACTGTTTGTAGTCTACGTACACGATTTGTCTGGGGAGCTTGAGAAGCCATCGCTCTTGTTTACCGATGGCCTAAAGCTCTGAAATACGGTAGATATTCCTGGAGGTCCTGTGGCTCTTCAACGGACTCTGCGCTTGGTCTGTATTGTGGTTGTTACATAAACCGGGCGAAGTGCTGCGTATAGGAACACCTGATCCCTCCACAATTTATGTGCTCGATAAGAGTGAACCTCCTCACGTGACCCACCAGGTTGATTTAGCTGTTGCACGCCATTTCATTCTACACTCCGGAGACAGCTGGAAGATAGCGCATAGTAAAGGGTTCCGGATGCTGTTGTTTGTCCGTCGCACTTTCGAGACCCTAACAATTTATCTGCTTGTGAAGCTCTTCTCAGCTTTCGTGCGACCCCACTAGAATATTGCGTCTAGGTCTATCCACCATGCCTTGTCCGAGACAAAATGGCACTAGAGAAGGTGCTGCGTGTCTGCACCAGACTGGTCGAGGGGTTAAAGAACAAACTTACCCCAGGCGCTTAGTTAGTTTGGGGATGCATTCAATGTAGTATCGAAAGATTAGAAGAGACCTAATATAAACCTACCGTACTTTAACGCATATGCTTTTGTTATTTAGCCTTTCTAGCTTATCTGGTCTTTGCGGGCATTGCTTGTGGCTGAACGAATCGCGATCCGACCCAATTAGAGCGGAGACGGCTATCGCGTAGAGTCATCGGGCGCCAGAATGCACTTCCAGAGTATTCTCAAGGAATCTAGGGTTAAACGCTCTTGGGCAGCAACACGAAACCTTTTTCTTCTCATGACCGACTCCTATTTTCATTGTTTAATTTTCTGTACGTTTCCTCACCATTGGTATATTTCTTTCCAATGACTCCCTATTCTACCTTCGGTTTTCCTTTCTCCCTTGCTTACTTCGCATAAATAGCATAGCAGAGACTGCTATTGCAGCAAACATGGGCATTAATTACTTGACCAGGATGTGCTTTGGGTGTTCCGTTTTAGGTCCATCAGGTCGCAGCACCTTATTAACTGCTGTCGTAACGATGCGCTCAAGAATGAACACCTACGAGCTTCTCTTACCGCCCTAGCCCTAACGATATTTGAACCTAAATTAGTTTCACGGCCGCTACGACGGCATTTAGGCGGTAATTTGCTTCTTTGGCATGCCGTACTCTCGTTTTAACCGAACTATCGTGGCGTAGTATGCGTCCGGTCCGAGACTCCGTGATCTTTCTTGTTCAATGTGTGAAGTGTGCCGCAATAACTCGTTGAGCTGCAAGGAAAACTCAGTATTCATAGACGATTGGATGCTGTTATTTCAACCAACTAGTAATAGTTTGGAGCTAATAGGAAGCTGTGGATATTGCTATCTGCTAAAGAGATAGCACGGCATAGTCAAGGTCAGAGTGCAGAAGGGTAATTTGGTGATGAAATAAACGATGGCACCAATCTTCCTCTAGCAGGTCCCGCCGTTAATCTAAGTAATTGAAGCGGATTTGCCATGCCAATATTGCTTCTCGTCAAACGAACCCATGAATGTTGCAATGTCCCCCTTCTTGACAGGCGATCTCCTCAGCGACAGGGATACTTGGTGCACGCTTTGATCTGTTGAAATGCGCTACAATTGACGAGGCCGGTGCACTCGGCTCCATGATTTTTTAAGCCAGATCTGAAAGTCCATTCACTGCGATGTACACTTCCTCCCATTTTAGATGGAATATTACAGAGCGCTTATTGACATTATAAGCAGTTTGAGCCCAACTTTATCACCGGGTTGATATGTACTTTCGAAAGCTTTGCGGTCGACGTAAGCTTTATGTTGACGCCGCGAGCTCTGTTAATACGCTTGCGCTAATTGGTGCGCGTGCAGCAGGCGTCTGGAGTATGTGGTCAGATGTGTGTCCGAGGGTAGTCGCAGCTCACGTTCCCTCATCATGAGATACTGCGTTTGGCCGCTCGATGAGTGGACAAACGGTAGTCCAGCAAACATTTAAGAAGTGACGTGTCCCACTCTCTTGCCGTCTCACAATGCTTTGAGAGTACGTTTCCTGCGCTCGACCAGTCCATTTCCTTCTGAATGCTAAGCAGTGGTCCGGTTCTTCCGGATTTCAAAATGAGGCAACTCGCTCTTGAGTATGCTTTCAAGGTTCCATTCACTATCATAGTGTAACTGGCAAAGTACTCCCCATCTTCCTACCCAATTACCGAACAACGCTTTTGCCACATTCCATGCGTGTGTCCTGTACTGGAACCGTTTCACACCACTTGGTGAAGTAGTCTACGATTAGCAGAACACAGCGGTGCCCTCTTGCAGTCTCTGGTAGAGTCCCCACGACGTCCATGCCAACCAGTTCAGTCGGAAACCCAGCCGTCCTTGGTTGCAGCGGCCCACAGCTGGTTAGTGCACGGTACTTGCTTCGTGCACAATCGGCGCATGATTGGAAATGATTTACGATGTCACGCCGTAAGTGTAGTACGCAGAGACTACCTTGGGAGTGAGGGTCGTTTGAAGGGCTGAAAAGGGACGAAGTTCACTCATTAAGGGTAGTTGCGGCACAGGCAAGCCAACCACCGCAAATGGGAACGAGAACGCAGGTTGCATGGGCAGAGTATATTCACAGAACACAAGTCCGTGAGTCCGGTACATGTATCATAAAAAGGAGGACAGAAAGATCCGGCGACAAATGTAAGTCGGTGCTTCCCAAAGATAAAAATGCCATAAACAGTACAGTTATAGTTAAGATAGTGAAGAAAACCAGTTGCCGTTACATAAGTGTGATCGACAGAAGCGGCGGCGGGTAGCCTCATCCATCTTGTTTTGTCCAGCACCTCATTCATTCATTCAATATACAAGTTACGTAGAAGTGTAAAGCCTCAGCTACTGTGCTGCAATAAATAAAAGAAAGAAGGGGAAATGCAACAGGTGCAAGCCGGCTGAGGTACTGGTAAGGGATGGGCATCGTTCCGATAAGCTACCAGCCGGCTACTATGCCGGAGAAATTTCACTGTGCAAACTTATATATGAGGTTAAGTACTGAGAGCGTGGTTGGAAGGGGAGTCTAAAAAGGGAGGGGGAGGGACAAAGAAACTCAGCACGGACGCCACTGTGGTCGCCTCCTAGCTATGTCAGCAAGTGTATCTAGACAAACGTGTTCATCGTCTTTTGGACTCCAACCAGGGAGACGTGTAGCTCCAACCGAGGCCAGCTCCGAAGTGAGGGCCTTCATTCCTCTCGACCAAGTCATCGCTCGGCCACCTCTCCTCTTCTACCATCCACACCCCCGGCGAGCAAACAACGCACGTCGCGGGAGTCGGTGGGCTGGTATGCGTAACACGTGGCCGAGCCATCGGAACCTGGTGCGTGAAATAACGGTGCTGAGCGGTTCATTTCCTTTTCCTGTGCCGTAAACAAGGCGTCG